AGAAAGGGAGACAGAACATGAAAGACTCCTAACTCTGGGAAACAAACAAGGGGTGGTCGAAAGGGAGGTGGGCAGGGGGTGGGGGTGACTGGGTGACGGGCACTGAGGGGGGCACTTGATGGGATGAGCACTGGGTGTTATGCTATATGTTGGCAAATCAAAGTCCAATAAAAAGAAACTAATAAAATGTATTTTTATGATGCAAAATCGTTAAAATTACGATTATTCACAGTAAGTTTAACCATTTTCAAGATAAAATAAAGTTAGTTTGGTCTGTTAAGAGAACCCAAGACAGATTATACCAAAATTAAGCGTACTTGAAAACAATAAAGGTTTTTAAATACAGCTTACATTTTGAAATGAATGAAGGACTAGAGACTGGAACTTACTGCAGTCACTAACAAGTGAGTGGTTACTATAGTAACAGAGACAAACTGATGCAGACTGAGAGAAAAAGATTTTGCAGCTGGACCAAATCAAAAAGAATATGTTTAAAAAAAAAACACAAAAAGATTATGTTTTCTGTATGGCATTTCCTGCCATCTCCAGTTTGTACTCTAAAAGGATAATAGATAGATAGATAGATAGATAGATAGATAGATAGATAGATAGATAGATAGATAAAATAAAGAAGAACATGTTCTGGGTATTGGGCAGATGATATGAGTTCAAAGTTTACATGGATATTTTCTAAGAGTTATAGAAAACTGTTCTAAATGAAGTTGTTAGCTAAGATGTCATGGAAAACACTAAAAACTTGAAGTCTGCAATAAAATTAAGATGATAGTTCCATCTCACACAATGTTATATGCCACTTATAGCTCAGTAAGACTGGGAGGAGGGAATATGGTACTTACTGAGTTAAAGGAAAAAATAAAAGACTTAACATCTACATACACTGGGTGGAAGTTAAAAAGTTCTGACCAAAGGCTCAGGAATAGAGAACTGCTGAGCTGCTAGATTCTTGAGTCTCTACATTAAATAAATGTTCTTTATTAGCAGCATTTCTGGAGGCCTCAGGAGATGTTCACACTTAGGTTACTAGTGGAAAAGGACAGTGAAGTGTGTTTGTTGACAGGGTTTGCTTATCTCTATTACACAAAGCAGTAAAATCCTATTTTTTTATATACCGGAGAATAGTAATTTCCAGTTATTTCCAGATATATGAACCATATCAAATGACAGTAGGGGGTTTATAAACCCACCTACCTTTTAACAATTGTCTTAGAGCAAATCAGTAACATTTTTCACACATACAGGAATGAATTTTCAAAAATATATAGATGGAATTAATAACATTTAAATGCTAGTGAATTTTAAGTAGTTTTCTATGATTATATCAGATACTGATACTCAAAAAATATAATAGTATGAATGTGGAGGGGTGGATAACCGTATATATAGAAGAATTCTCTTTTAGTGACAAGATGTCCTCATGCTCAAAAACGAAGGCCCGGTGCTAGAGACAATGGGACTATCCTGTGACATCAGATATCACCCCCGCAGGGTCTTACCAGAAATCATTTATCAATCATTTATGATTGAACTGCAGCTCTGAGGCCAGATCACATTTCCGTGTAACCGTGTAACCATACCCTTTAAGTCATTGCTTGAAAGGTGAACTCTTGAGGATTTGGTCAACCTTATTAGAGGTATAGAGAGTAGAATTTATCTACTGCTTAAACACCCTTGAGCAACTCTTAAATTAAACCATTTAGACTGTCTCTCAGGAAGTACCTCCTACCAAACAGCAGGACAGATATTTCGGTTGAGAATTGTAAAGCCCATCTTTCGTGATTCTAGAACCTATTTTTTTCCCCTTTAAGTTGTATATACACTTTTTTTTTCTTTTACCCTTTAGTCATTTCCTAGTATTTGCTTTTCTTTTTCCCACCAACCTTCTTTTCTTCAACTCGTTTTCTCTCTACTGACCCAATGTCTGTCTTTTCTAGAAACTTTACCGCAGACACTAAGAATCCATAGGTGGTAGAGAGACAAGTAAAGATCTACACTGCTATGAAATGACTTCGCAGGTATTCTGAATATGTACTGATACTTTCATATTTGTTTTAAGCAATGGTAATATTTGCTGAATTATTATTTATAATTTGGATTCTGCTTTTACCTTCTTATTTAAGTAAAGTGTCACATAGTTATCAATGAAACTTGGCCATGCTTGTCATTTTAGTCAGATTTTTTTATGTCTGTTCCAGAATGGTAGTAGACTAGGCTTGAACAGCATTTTGTTTGTTGTCCATGCTGTTGGAATGACAATCATTCCTGGGCCGTGAGCAATAGTTTATTAAAGATTGTGGAGCGGAGAGACAATTTTCTTTCCTTGTTTGTTCCGTTATAATAACTAATGATGAGTAAGACATGCCACTTTTTCGTCCATGACACTTTTTGTATTGTAACACTAATGAATTTGCAAACCTCTTATATATATTTTACTCTCTCAAAGAGTGCTGGACAAAGAAAGTGAAATTGTTTCAAATATGCCATTCTTCATGTGTAGCAAATCTAGTGTCATACCTCATGCTATGGTCATAATGAGAATCCCAACCACCCTCTCTCTCCCACTGAGACCATATCCAACCCACATCCTTTCCATTGCACCTGTCTTAACACTCTTGCATCTAAGGTAATACCTAATACAGGGCCAATGAATACTCACTTGAATGAAGAAATAAATTAATGGATACATAATGGATCAAAAAAGAACATCAAAGGACTAACCTGAATTTCATCTAGTTTGACTCCCTAACTTGAAGGATGGATTTTGCTAAATTACTTTTTGACAAGCTCTCCACGGGCACCTGCTTGTGATCAGCATGGATTTATGCGCTCAAGGATGGAAGATTGAATAAGAGTGAGATTCTAAATTAAATTATATATTTTTTTAAGAGAGAGTGAGAGGGAGCATGCACACACCCACACGTACAGTGGCAGGAGGGGTGGAGTAAGAGAGAGGGAGAATCTCAAGCAGGCTCCGCTCCCAGTGGGGATTGATACAGGGCTCAATCTCACCACCCTGAGGTCATGACCCGAGCTGAAATCAAGAATCAGGTGCTTAACTGACTGAGCCAGCCATGCACCCCTTAAATTAAATTTCCCAAGGTGACCAACATAACCCGCCTAGCTACTCAGAGGGATCTGATGTTTTACCTTTTAAATAGTGCACAGTGTCAGCCTCCTCAATCCCTGCCTTTTTGGCATTTGCTCCTCCCCTGACCACTTGCTCATATTATGACATCCATCCTTTGTGTTGCTCCAGCTGTGTGTTTGATTTGACCACCATTTTTTAAATACACCTTTTCCTCTAAACTTCACTGAAATATAATTGCACACAACATTGTATACGTTTAGGGTATATAATGTGATCCTTTGATATATGCATCTATCGCATAACGATTACCACAGTAAGGTCCAGTAGCACATACTTCCCCTCATGGTTCGCTTATTTTGTTTTGTTTTATTATTCGGTGGTGAGAACATCACAAATCTACTCTGTCAGCAGCTTTCCTGTATATAATGCAGTATTGTGATCGATAGGCCCCATGCCGTACATTACATTCCTAGATCTCACCTGCCTCTGACCAACGTCTCCCCTTATTCCCACCCCCAGCCCCTGCCAACCACCTGTCCGCGCTCTCTTCTCACAGGCTCAGCTTTCCCAGATTCCACATGTAAGTGAATCAAGCACACTGGCCTTTTCTTGGACATACCTCACCTCGCAGAGCACCCTCATGTTTCTCCCATGTTGTCCCAAGGGGTAGGCCTTCCTTTTTCTGTGGCTGAAAACACCCCATGGTAGATCACATTTTCTCTATCGTTCATCTGTCCGCAGACACTTACAGCTTACCTGCCTTGAGTTCTGTGAATAATGCTGCAGTGACCGCAGGGCGCACATACGTCCCTGAGACAGTCATTTCACTTCATTGGGAGGTGTACCCACGAGTGACAATGCTGGGGCATAGATGGTAGTTGTTGTTGTTGTTGTTGTTTAAACCTTTGAAGAACCTGCATAGTGTTTTCCATAGTGACTGTACTAATGTATATTCCTAGCACCATCGTGCAAGTGTCCCCTTTTCTCCACATCTTTGCCAATACTTGTTATTTTCTGTCTTTCAGATGGTAACTATTCTAACAAGTGTGAGGTGATACTTTATTTTGGCTTTGATTTGCATTTCCGTGATGGTTAATGATGTTGAGGTCCTTTTCGCGTACCTATTAGGCATTTGCATATCCTCTTTAGAAGATGAAAAGGTTGTTTGCCCAATTTTAAATTTGAATTACTACTACTCTACTACTACTACTACTACTACTACTACTACTACTACTACCACCACCACCGAGTTGTATGAGTCCCTTATATTTTTTGGATATTTAGATATCAGATAAATGATTTGCAAGTATTTTCTTCCATTCTGTAGATCCCCTGCCTTTTCATTTTGATGTTGTTTCTTTGTTAATTTTGTTTGATTGTGCAGAAGCTTTGTAGTTTAATTTACCTTTTAGTTTCCACAATCATAGCCATCTTTCAATAAGCTTCATGGCTATAGTCTCACAACCCTGACCCTGGAAATATCATTTAGGATTAATTTCCTTCCAGATTAAAACATTCCTTGATGAGCTGCCGGGTGGAAAAAAAAGTTTCATTCTCTTACAGTCCTTAGCCCCACCCAGCTGATCTTTTGTGTACAGAAATGTGAATGAGAACTTCCAATACCAAGTTACTAAAAGCATCTCTCTGCAGCCTTGCCTATGTCCTCACTTAGCCCATTATATTTTTCATCGCAGCCTTTCTGAGATGGGGTTAGTGCTGCTATCATTTTAAGGCAGCAAGATACCATCAAGAAAAAACGACTCTAAAATCCATCCATCCTGTTGAAGACAGTTGCCTAGAAAAAGGCATGAATACAGGAAGCTTAAGAGAGTCAGCTCTGCATGTTTTATCTCTTTTGGATTTCCAAGTGAGAATAATCACCGGAAAGCCTGGAGTTACTACAGATTATAATACAGTGATTTTTTTGTCCTGTCACCTACGATTTTTGAAACTTCAGTAGTGTGAACTTTGACTTACATAGCTCTTTAAGAATTTTGCAATGTCAGCTGTGAAGTTTGAGCTGGATTATCTTTCTCCTGAAGGCTTTAAACATGAGCCTGCTTCCAACCCAGAGTTTCCTTTAACCTGTTTGACTGAACTCTCTGATGATTCCAGAAAGTTGGAACTTCAGCACTCCAATTCTGTCCCCGCTGGTAAGCTAAACTTCAGTTTGATATTTTAGAGCATCTTACATTTGTATTTCTTTAATGTCAGGTGTGTAACAAATACATCTCAATGTCACCTACTTTGTGGTGGTAAAACTCATGTCAATTTTAGTTTCTTTGGTTGTTTTTCCACAAAACATATAAATGAATTTCTACAAAAAGAACAGAGGGTTCTCTCAATAGAGTGAAATGCCAGAAAACAAATTTAAGGAACCCGAGAAAAGTGTTAATATTGAAGTAGATTTTGTTTTTCTGAACACTCAAGTCTATCAAGTCTTAGTTTTGTTTGCGATGATGGATGAAATCATGGATTGTTTCCATGAACTTCAAAGTCCTGCCATCTTTCATTCATTTCTTTTATTTCTATTTCCTTTTATATAATTACATGAAGATAATATGTGCTGTTTACCTTCTCATTAAGGACAAGAGAATATTCTTTTTGTTCATGTTATTTTATGACGTGATTAGGATTCTATGTGAGCTGACAATGTTGATAGAATTCAATGTGAAAAATTCATTTTTTGATACCTATGGGTGATAATCACTTATCTAGCATCCAACAGTTTTCATTTTTGCATTGCAGTTTTGAGGAAACAAAGCTATATACACTAATAGTCTACATGCATTAAAAAATTCTGTGGGTTTGGCTTATGTGAACAGCTCTGAGATGGCAATGGGGAATTAACTATGCTTTGTAGAAAAAAAATCATCTAATAAATTAATATTTTAAATATTGTTCTAAAGGAAAACTCCCTTAAGAGTTAGTTATCTTTACTCATAAAAAAGACAGTGCAACGAGAAAAGTAAAAGTTAAGCAAAGTCTTCATAGTTCTGGATGTTACAGGACATTAATCTTTGTCCAATGAAAAAGAACTTGCAGAAATAACAAATTCCATTTTGCAAGCAGAGGATTCTTCTAAGAAAACTTGGCATATTTATTTATTTTGAGATGTTTGAAAAGAAGTTTTATGTGACTCCCAACCAATCGTTGATTTGTTATTCAGACTCTTTTATATTATATGACTTGTTTTACAGTATGGGTGGTTCTATAATCAGGAGGATACAGCAACTTTTTAAATCTTCTTTCATCCATGCTGTTATTTCTCTTTTTTAGTTTGAAAGTTTTACTGGGTATTGAACCTACAATTGCATGAATGGAAAAATACATTCTTTTTTATAAATGAACAGTACAGCACAGTAGATGTAGATGGGAAAAGGAGGTTTATAAATAAAGTATTTACCAGTTTAATCATGGTTTAAATATCCATGTTCGTTTCACCAAATTTCTTGTCTCCTGGTCATCTCTGCAGTAAACTCAACTGCTGTCCTCATGAAGCAGGACATTGCACATCCATAGCTTAGGTATGAACTCTTCCCCAGTGCCTGGAAGGCACTTTCACCTCAATATCCTTGGCAGTCCCCCAAATTCAACACAAATAAACTAAACTCCCTAGAAATGCCTCCTTCTTCTTACATTCTTATTTTTGTCAGTATCCTCTAAATCATCTCAAACACTCCTCGGCATTTATTTCAATCTAAAGCGCATGCTTATTTCTATGCATATTAGTTTAATATATGTCTTCTTTACCTCTTTGCCCACCACTATGGTGCCAGTACTCAATACGGTGCCTGGCAATAGAAGACTGTTTATATCCTGACTCATCGATCGCCTGGCTGAGGGGCTGAAGGACTGGCCCTCTTCATTCCCCTAGTGCGTGCACCTGTATTGTCTTTTACCTTCTACCTTCTACTCTTGCCCGTGGACAGACACATAATCCTTCCTAAACACAAGTCTGACCTTTTCCCACTTTTGTTTGCAATTTCCATTAAATCTGTGTGGCCTGTGTTATACACCTGGTGCTCTAGGATCTAATTTATTTCCCCCAGAACTTTGCAAGTTTCATGTAACCTACCTATAGCCTACAAGAATGATTTACTTACACTTTCCAATTACTGTTCATGTTATTCTTTCAAAATAATTTCCAACAATTATTTCTCCTTCCTCTATTTAGTAAGATCTCACTGAGAAGAAAAAAAAAATCATCTTCGTCCCAAATGCCTATGGTTAACTCTTTATATAAAGGAATATTTCCTGTCTCTAAGTTCTAAAAAACAGTTTGTCCTATATATGAAAATGTTCACATTCTAGGTTTTTATTGTTGTTATAAATACATATGTCCATAGCTCATCTTCTATTAGATAATGTGATTAGATTATGTTTCTTGAAGGTAATTGCCTTTTCACAATTGTTTTTTGCATTATGCCCATGTCATAAATATGATTAATTAAGTGACTAAATGGTAAAGTGTAGTTTATCTTTTAATTTATTTCCCGTCATAGGGAGTATTTGTTTAAGTCTAGTTCTACATGCATTCTATCTGCCAAAATACTATATGGAAATTACCACACAATTCTTTTTTTGCTTGATGATACCATCAAACAAGATAGTACCCATGTGGAATTTGTCCTTCATTTAAAATTTTTATGAAGCATTAAGCATCCTAGAATCTACTTTGTATGCTAGATCTTTTCACCTTGTATTCAAGAGAATCAAGTTGTATCCATTTACATATATTTATTAGAATTTTTTAAAAATAAAATATTCATTGAATGTCTATAACTGAGAGTTAGTGGTTGGAGTATTTATATGAAGATGAAACTGAGGTAACAGTGGAAGCAGGGAAAGAGTTTTCACCTCAGTGATGTGACAGTATGTTTTCAGCATACATATGCATGTATCCCTAGCATAGGGAAATAGAATATAACAGGTGAATGTTAGTCCATAGAAAGTTGTATATCTAAAAAGAAAAATATTCCATTGCCAGCAAAAACAGTATTTATACCTTTCACTTATATAATAACTTGAAGATAATTCATACCTACAGAATATGAATAGTTCTCACAACAAATCCTAGAGGCAGATTTCATTTATCTTGAACTTTATTAAATAAGAGAAATCAAAGGCCAGAAAAATCATGCAATTGGACCTAAGTTGCACACATATATCTATTGTGGTGTGTGTGTGTGTGTGTGTGTGTGTGTGTGTGTGTGTCAGTGGATGGGTGGTGGCAAAGGGAGAAGAAAGAAGCAAGTTGAGGAGCTCTTAATCTGTTTTATGTCTCTAAACTTAGTGTCCTTTTTCTTTTCTCAACACTTCATGGAAAATCTGATTAAGAAACAGTACCATGGAAGAAAATGCTTCTTTATGTTTCAGAAATGGATTTCATCAGTAATCTGTAATGAGAATATAAATGTCATTCCTGAATTCTGGATTGTGCTTTAAATAACTTTTAAGGTTATGGACATTTCCTCATCATGCTCATCATTATCGCCATTGTGATATGAATGATAAGCACATACATATCATTTCCATACCTCAGGCAGTGCTGTGAATGTTCTGTATGCATATATATACACACACACACATACATGCATATTTACATGTGTTTTTTTATGAATGCACATATGTAAATATATATATATGTATTTAATCCTTGAAAAACAGGTAATAAAGCTTCCATCACAACACAGTATAGCACATTTGTGAGTGTATGTGATTGAACTTTTAAAAAATTTGTTGATTTTATTTAATCTAGAATTTCATATTAGAAATTTAAATATTTATTAGACCCCCAAGCCCTTTTACACAGAACATTTCCTAACATCCTGAAAGACCAGCTTTGAAGATTTGGAGAAATGAATTATGTAATGCTAGTGAAGTCTTTGGAGAACTCTAATAAAAAGTCAAGGTAAGGTCCCGCTCAGCCACCAACAAGCAGTATCACTTGGGGCAAGGTTTTAACATCCTCCTGAGTAATTTTTCTAATCTGTAAAATGTCTAGAATAGATCAGTTGATTTTAAAAGCCACCAACAGCTATAAAAAAAAGCTTAATGAAAATAATTAGATTTAGAACTTTCCAATGCACGTCGTTAAGCTAGATAAAGACCAGAATATAAAGAAGGGTCAAGACAAAGCTTCTGTTTACATATAATGTATAACAATAGTAATGAAAGTCAACATATGCAAAGAATTTCATAATTTATGGAGTTCTTTAACATTTGACTTTCGCAACCACCTTGTAGATCAAATCATTTTTACTCCCATTTTTATAAATGGAGAAACTGCATATCAGTGATATTTTACAGTGAAATTTTAGTAAGTGATAAACCAACTTGGACCCAGATTTCTCCAATTCTAAATGTTATTGCTACTACACTAGTATAAGTGCAAGTACCAGTCTTACTACTTAACCTGACAAAAACAGCATTTACTATTTTATTGACAATGCCAAATACTTGAATCCTAGTCTACTCTCTAAATGTTCCGAAGCATGAAGAAGTAAAATATTATTAAAATTATCCATCATATTTCAAGTATAGATTTATAGACCACTAGTTTACATGCCAACTTGCTATTTTCAACTCAGAATGGTTGAGTTGAAATCTTTATAAGAAAAGATATTTACAAAAACTTTATAATCTAGGTAAGACTAATTGGTCTATAGAAAATGTTAACTTGCTGATTTTAAATAATGACTGTGTTAATTTTGAATGTGTCCTGTATACTGAGTGAGTCATTTTCAGAATGGCTTAATATCCTGTCCTATCTATATTAGAAAGTCCATCAAATCCAAATAGTTCCTGGTAAACCAACCTAACTTTGGAGCTGTTAACTATTAAATACTAGAAGTTGTCCCACAGTTTCTATATTTAAAAATTGCCTTTAAGACATTTCCATAAATGACTCATTTCCTTCTTTTAATTCTTATTTTTTAAAAAAATCCCCAATCTTAGCCAGGCGCTGGTATATTATTGATTGATAACAATATTTTGAGCCAAATGAGAACCCTTTCTGTTGCCTTTTATTTGCAGCTGAAGATTAACTTAAAATGATTTACCCAGAGTTACAAAGTTACTCGTAACCTTAAATGGAGATAAGAAGTTGGGTCTCATAGTGTCTTGTCCATTCCATTTTACACTAAAATAA